CACTTTTTTCCAAACAGTCTTTCCACCTCGACATGTTTTTGGATAATTCGATATCTCTATTACAATCAATCTTTCCTTACGTTCACTGAAGATCTTATTTGGAGCTAACCTTGACATATTCTTGACCGTATTTTGGTTAATTTCTCTCAGAAATTGTAGTCCGACGACCCATTAAAAAAAAATCGTTTTACTGAACGAAAAAGTGTTTTTTAAAATGTCAAACTAAACAAAAAACAATTGCAGTAATGGGAAATTTCAAACTGATAAGTTTTGACCGGTAATTTTTTTTGCATCATTTCAGCTTTGTCGTTAGTATTGCATATAGTTTAATTAGTTCTTTATTCTTAAGTAAATAAGGCACATTTAAGACAAGTCACTGTATGTCAGATTGAAGTAATTGGCAGTCTGATATTGACGTTAATTATCAGCAAATCTCAAAATTTACGCCAAAATCGGTATTTTAATAGTTGAATGTAAAATTTGGTTGGCCTGGAATTTGCAATGAGATTAAATTGAAGAAAAATACATGTAATGTGTTTCACTCTGTAGACAGCATTCTGATTCCACTGGAAATCGTTTTAACTCTTCAGCGTCCATTGAGGTCAATGGCATGTATTTAGCAACAAAATAATCGAAGTATTTCGCAATATTGATTTATCCTTGTGGCAGTACATTAATCTGCGCTGATCAAATCGCATAGCGTGGAATTAGTCGGGTCGCAAAACGACATTTGTGTGGCCTTTTTTTACAAATGTTTATTTAGTTAAATAGTTTATTTAAGAGAACCAGAAAATGTAGACGAAAATACCTGCTGTGTATTTATTTCTACTTCACCTAGTGCCTTTCTTTCCTAGCACATTAAAAAGAGAAAGAGATTAACATAACAGTACACGATGCAACACGATAAACGTCATTTTAGTCACCAGTTTGATTTGGCACAATTTGAGGGACTGTTTAATTAACAGGTGACTGAAACACTAGTTTTGAAAAACATCAAAATACATGGTTAAAATGGAAATTAAATACATCCGATGGCTAGCAAAACCGTGACTAAAGTACAAGTAATATCGGAAGTGGATCGCGACCGTAAGTAACCAAGCAGACGTCTTAAAGTGTGACTCTAAGCATGTATTTTAGAGTAGGGAGTAGAAAAATACATAAATATTTTGAGAGAATATCAAAAATGGTATCTTTCTCCTCTGGCCTCCGTTCACGATTTTCTATTCTTCTTTTTAATATATTTTTTATTCTCTCTTTATTATGTTAGTTTTTGTTTTCGGCAAGTGATTTCCATTCATTATTTTTAAGAGATTGTCAATTTTAGACATTTTATGAATGACTTGTTTCGCCTATTTTAATAGGTTAGTGTACGTTGTATATCGAAATCTAAAAACTCTTTAAAATTACATCACTAACTTAAAATATTGTGTCATATTTGTATCAACACCTCATTTCAATATAGCGACGTAAATTTGTTCCCGCATTTGAAACAAATTCAAGTTTAATCACTGTGGGAAATGTGAGAATGCCTAATAAAAGTCAGAGGGCGCGAGAAAACTAAACAATATGGCAACAGTGCGCCGAATCACAAACAGCAACTGTACAAGAAAAAGTTCTTAATGACCACACCCACAAGTTGTTAAACAAAAGGTTCCTCCGAATGGCTTCCGTTTGAATAAGCACATCTCCATGATAATTACGATTTTTGGATAGACATTAAATTAGTAATAAATGTATTGTGACCAAGAAATTTTTCATTTCTGTTATTCATAACTAATAGAATAGATCTCTTCGTGGGAGTAAAAATTGCCTTGTCTTTTCAGTTGACATTTTCCAAGAATACCGCCCACAGCATTTCTATTCACTAAAATTGTAGACCCCCCGGAGGTTCTGACAAAAGTACTACCATGATATAAGACGAGAACCGTGGTTGTTATTATAGTCTGTTTATTTCACAAGGTGTATCTCATTTCGTCAAAACATCTCTATATGATTAAATAAATTGAAGACTTGATATCATTATGTAGTTGAACTAAAGTGGCTCTTACTTGATGAAACTTAATTTAACACAATTAAATTAGAACAAAAAATGTCTACATTCTCCCAATTATTTATTGGTTTATACCAGCTGTTTCTGAAATACCGTGCCTTTATCAGATTCAAAAGGTGACAATATTCCCGCATCTATATAGAAGGATGTAGAAGAGGGATTAATTATAGAAATACCTCTTAGTCTACTACTTTACTACTTTACATGGACAATGTCGAAAACATCATAGATAAACAAGATTTGAGTAAAATTTTTCTTGGGTGGTATGGATACGTAGATCATGTTTTTGGTTGTTTCACTATAACACAAAGACAACTGCAGTCCTTTTCGAATTATGTTAACTCCATACATAACCCTATAAAATTTACCATTGACAAAGATAACTCTTCAAACCTATAACTCAATAAAACAAACAACAAATTATATTTTTCCATTTACCATAATCCCTTACACTCGAAGACAGTAATAGATAATACTCAAATCACTCTCACATACACAAAATGGCAACCTTTCATTCCTTTACTACTTAATATATCACTTTCCACAGAAAATTTTGAAAATGAATTAAATATTATAATGGGTACGACCCCTCTTTGATAGATAAGATTGTAACTAAAAAACAGTTTCCAATAACTGTGAACTCTATCCATCCCATATTAAACACCGAACCCCAAATTTATAAAACAATAAAATTCATTGGAGCACCAAGCAAGAAAATATATCCCTTAAACTTTAAAAACTTGTAAAATTGAAAACACAATAGGAAAATTTTAATAAAAAAAAAGACTTGTATAACGAAAAACTCAAAAATTTGGAATCTATAATTTGAAATGTAGATCATGTCCCAAAATTTATATCGTACAAAGAGGTGGAACATTTAAGAAACGCATTATAACACTTAACATAAAAGATAAAAGTTTGGATTTGGAAACTAATTAAACAATTAAATTCAGAAATTTGGCTATAATTTTGATATTTTACATAATGAGTCAAAGAGCAAAAAATTAAATTTGTTTGAAGCTATGAAGTTTAACAAATTATCTACAACTGACTGGACCAATTGGATTTAAATGGGTCTCCGTTGTTAAATTTAAATCTATAACCTTTCAACGGTAATTATATACAGTGATATAGGTGATTTCAAAGTAAAAATGTCAAATGGACCTGTACTCGGTATGTTATTCTGAGCTACAAGCATTTGAAATTTTAAAGACCATTCAAAAAGAAACCAATTTATTTATTAAGTTATTAAAAAGTCCAGGTGACTGTGAGGTTTATGTATTTTTTATGTGTTTATTTTCGTGCGCTACATTACAATGCTCTTCAAGGTACAATGTTTACTTTTTCGAATGAAGAACACACTGACATTCGTTGTTTATGGTTTGTGTAATGGAAACTAGACAATATGGCAACAGTGCACCGAAGCACAAACGGAACTGTAGAAGAAAGTTCTGATATAACCAAAAAAAACCTCAAATCAAACGGACGAGAGACAGCTGATGAATAGCGCCGACGATTTCCTACTCGTAGAGTGCCTTGTAGAACTGTTTTTAGCAATGTTCATTGATGTGTGAGAAAAATAGGCAAGTTTTCGGTAGCTACTTCTAAACGTTCCGTTCAACAAGAACTTGCGCAAGAAGAAGCAATACTTAATACGATTGATGCTCAACCTTCGACTAGTGTTGGTTGGTCGCATGAGAGAATAGAAAACTTTACACAATTTCGGTTCGTACCCGTACCACATCTTACCTGTACAAGCTTTAAAACGCTACGCGACTACGCTTGAAGACTTGAATTCAGTCGCTGGATATTCAGCAATCAAAGGGCTTGTCGGATAATATTATTTAGTGATGAAGTCTCATTCACTCGAAATAGTATCAATAACACCAGAAATTCACATTGTTGGACACTTGAAAATCCACGACAAACTCGGGAATTCCATTTTCAAAATTGATTTTCGTTGAATATTTGTGTGTGGCATTATTGATGACCGGTAGATTGCCAGAGGTCCTTGGGCAGCAAGGTCACCTGACCTTAATCCTTTAGATTAATGTTTCTGGGGAAAACTAGAAACATTAGTTTATGCAGAAAGTATTGAAAATAGAAAACAATGTATACAACAACTGGGAAATTTTGAACAACTAATTCAATAAAATTAAATTTAAATAAAAAAAAAAATAATTATATAAAAAATAAAGGAGTTTTTGTTAAATGGTCTTTAAAATTTCAAATTCTTGCAGCTCAGAATAGCGGTACAGGTATATGTTCATTTCATATGTTTAACTTGAAATCACCCCAGCAACGCACTCCTAAGCTATAGCAGTCGTGTCGTGAGACACCCTGTATATGTAGATATCTGAATATTGTCATATTTTGTGTGTTACCGAAACAACTGTCATAAACCAATAATTTAATTTTATCATAATGTAAGAGAAGAAAGTTTCAATCGCAAAATTTTAACCATGAACAATGTTATGAGATTACTTTGAATGCGGTTTGTTTTGGTGACCGTAGAAGCATTGTGTCTGGTTCTCCAATTTTGCTAACCATTTAGTGACATTCAAAAATTTGTTTGATGTAGATCGCAGATTGCGTTATCTCGTTTTAACGAAACCCCACACGTCAATTCACGGAGACTTTCGTAAATATCCAAGCAGCTCGGTCGTTTATCGCCACCATCACTTCAGCCATCTGTCCTTACCCGAATCCATGGTTCCCATTTACGCAGACCACCCACATTCACCTTTATAAATCAACTGACGCAACCTCGTCGCTGTTTCCGTTCCAAATCAAAGAGAAAATCTTATCTTGGTTTTAAGTATTTTTTTTATCAGGATCAATTTTTATTACTTGTATTACAAAGGATTTTATCAGACTATAGCGTAGGTGAACTAACTAACTGTGGTTGATTAGAAACTGCGCGGGATATTTTGATCGTCATTCGATAATTTTAAGACACCCTGGTGCCTTCTTCTCGGTCTTCTGCCTCCAACGTCGGGTTTCCGTCTCTCAGAATGAACGCGGAACTTTCTACGTCCAACTCGCTGAATTCGTATTTGGACGCCATTTCCATGAAAAGGGCCATATCGGCGACGATCAGCAAGGCGAACATGAAAAATTCGTAAGCCTGAAAAATTTTGTTGCTATCAGTAAATGTCATCTCCTTCAACTTATATGACTTCGGGGATCAAAATTCCCGTCCCTACTTTTATAGTAGTTCAAGTTCCCCATCTAGGTGAACCGCCAGTTTGTTTTCGTTTCCCGTATTCAAGTGTTACTAAACGTAGATGAAAAATTAATAAACATTAAAGCAGACGATAAAAATGTTGTTTTCTGAAAGTTATTTAGTATAATATATACAGGGCGGGGCACCTATATTTGAAATAATTTTTTTTTTCGTATTTTAATTGAATTCAATTACAAATGTCTCCGCGAAAATAATACAGAGTTGAACACAATTTGATTGAATCTCCTTTCGTTTTGGAAAAAATATACTATATCGCCTGAACAACGCTTTGTTTAGCGATGAAGCGCACTTCTCGTTGAATGGCTACGTCAACAAACAAAACTGCCGCATTTGGAGCGAAGCTAATCCACAAGTGTATGTTGAAACACCGTTACATCCAGAAAAACTGACTGTTTGGTGCGCTTTATGGGCTGGTGGAATCATTGGTGCGTACTTCTTCAAAAACGATGATGCCAGAACGTTACAGTCAATGGTGATCGGTATAGAGCTATTATTACTAACTCATTCATTCCTGAATTGAATAACCATGATGTCCAGGAGATGTAGTTTCAGCAAGACTGCGCAACATGTCACACAGCTCCTGCCACAATCGATTTATTGAAAGACACGTTTGGTGACCGCCTAATTTAACGTTTTGGACCTGTGAATTGACCTCCAAGATCTTGTGATTTAACACCGCTAGACTACTTTCTGTGGGGCTATGTAAAGTCACTGGTCTATGCGGATAAGCCACAATCGCTTGACCATTTGGAAGACAACATTCGCCGTGTTATTGCCGATATACGGCCACAAATGTTTGAAAAAGTCGTCGAATATTGGACGTCCAGATTGGACTAAATCATACCAGAAATCATATTTAAAATGTAATGCCACAAGATGATCTTTCGGATAAATAAAATTCATGTCAATCGAATAATCCATCGTTGTTTTATTGCAACTTAAAGTTCTATACATCGAAAAAAAAACACCCCTTATATATCTATCGGATTTTTCGTTGGTAGAAGAATTGATTGCATGCAAGAATTTTAGATTGATCGAATAAAATTTTATGTCTGGTCTCGTTATTGTGTTCGCGGGGCTTATTAAGGCTCTTTCATGTTTCTTGAGCCTAGCCGATATTTTTCGCCCTGTCTCTCCAATGCATTCTTGCATGGAACGCTGTAAATTCTTGGCATCTTAAATGGAATTTTGTCTTTGACGGATCGAAGATGTCGAGAGATTTTTGGACAAGTGGTAAATCTGGTTTTGACGTTATATTTCTTAAAAACTTTTGAATCATGTGGTCAGTGACGTTTTGAATATAAGGAAGGACAACAGTGCCAAGTGTGCGATTGCATTCGGACTCGTTGTTATTGGAAAGTTGTGGTGAAGTGTATTTTGTGATGGAACGCTTAATATCTTTAATATCTCGGGCTGAGATAGTTTTACACAGTGACTCAGTGTTAGGTCTGGTTTTCTATTGATAAAAATATCTAAGAATCGTAGGTCATTATTAGTTACTAATTCAAAGGTAAAACGTATATTAGGGTGGAAATATCTAAGAAAATCTAGCAGAGATTCTTGACCATGAAGCCAAATAATAAAAGTATCATCGATGTAGCGTAAATAAATTTTTATGTACAAGGACATTTTTTTTATCCAAGTTCTGATATTTCCCTACCGTTAAATGTTGAATTTATAATCCAAATTAGGTATTTAAATATACTTTAATTACTTTGCCTGAAAAGTATTTTTATTGATATTTCTTATTAGTTTTTGGCGCTCATTAGTGAAAATAGTATATCACGCAACAAGTGACATGATGGTCAGAACTGACAAACTTCAAAATTCCGTGGCTAAAATCTACCGGCAGTTTCAGATTGTTCTAATATACTGAAAATATTCGAAGCGACTCGCGATCGTGGTTAAAGAAGCTGATTTTCGGAATGTTTGATTCGCGTATAGAAATGTTGTGTTTCAGTATTTTAACATATGGACATGAACATTTAGTTTTGAAGTTTTCGCGGATGTGAAAAAATATATAAAGGGCGTTTCTTTTTAAAGTGGAAATTAATTTTCATAATTTTTTTTTTCGGTTAATTTAATGCATTGGTGTTAAATGCGTATCAAAGGAATGGACCAATTTGTATATATTTGTCATTTTTTCCTCAAAATTTCCAGCAGGCTATGGAAATTATAGACAAGGATAACAGGCGCGTTGAAGAGTTTTCTGACTCGCATCAACTTGAAATAAATACTACCAAACCCTTCCCTATGTTTTTTGGTCAATCTAAAGAGGTAATTAGACCTTACTGTCGAATACGTGTTTAAGATCAACATCTAATTTGCTCTGAACGCACACGAAATTTGGGACTGAACTTTGATAGTGATTTACGTTTCAAGTCCCACATAAATAAATGCGTTCAGAAAGTCTATATGAGTTTAAAAAGCAGTTATCCCAGTCGTCACCTTTTAATAATTAACGTTACAATTAGATTAATGGATTCGTGGATCAAGAAGATGCAACCAGAATACAGGGAGTGCCAAAGTCGTGTTTACGATTGATCTACGGTGTCAGGCGACGTGATCGCATTTTGTATAAACTCCGTGACGCAAATTGGCTATCAATGGAGAAACATCGACAATTTCATATAGTCGCTTTTTACCATAAAATAATTTTAAACGCCTGTCCTCCATATCTTTTTCAAAATATAAAATACCGGACTGATGTCTACACTTTGAATCTTCGATATAGGGGTCTTACTTCTCCTTCCCCGCATTGTTTGAAAGATGGTTTTCCTACTGTGTTTACAAATAGTATAATTCTGTTACCAATAACGCGAAGAAACTGATGCTTACATTATAAAATGTTTCTTTATAATCAATCTATCAATCAAAGAAAATTAGCCGAATTAGATTTCTAATAACAAGATACTGTACAGTTTTGTTTTTTATTTTTTATGTGTTCATAATAATGAATTGATATATTCAGTATGTATCATATGTTAAGATATAAGTAGCTATGAAATTTGGGACTGGGATTAAAATTGTTTCCTATTTCCTTTTATTGCGCTTTCGCTTTTGCTTGCATTTTTGGATTCGATAAAACCAATTCATCAAAGCACTTTTTCCACATCGATTCGGGCACCTCCAAAATATGCTTTTTAAACGCGTCAATCGCTTCTTCTGGTGTCAAAAATCGTTGCCCCCGTAATTTATTCTTAATGTATGGGAATAAAAAGAAATCATTAGGTACTAAATCGGGACTATAGGGTGGATGGCTTATCAAATCAACATGTTTAATGCTCAAAAAGTCTTTGTTTGCGCTGCTCGGTGATTGTCGTCCAGGAGAATGATTCATCTTCGGCGGTTGGTTTTTCTAATTTCTTGGCCAACAAATGGTTGTGTACCATTCAGAATTGACTGTTTTACCTTTCACCAATGAAACAGTTGCAGCGTTGCCAGTTTTCCTGAAAAAACAGCCTACCATTTGTTTCGAGGTGCTTCGCGTACGAACAACTTTTGTGGCTTTTGCCTCATTCTGAAAGACCCACACAGTCGACTGCTGCTTATTATTCATTACCTGGCATTTACTTCGACCAATCAACACGAGCTTTTTTTTGAGCTGATGAAAAATTGTGTGGAATCCAACGCTAACAAATTTTTTTTGCGGCCAAATGTTCATGCAAAATTGGATGTATGCTGGTCCCACTAATGCCGAAAGATGCTTCAATCTCATGGTAAGTCACATGACAATCCTGCAAAATCAATTTCCGCACTCCATCAATATTTTGGACGACCTTCACGAAATTCCTCCTTAAACTACGACCACGATTGAAGTCCGAAAACCAGCGATAAACAGTAGTCCTAATGGTGCTTTAACTCCAATGGTGGAATTAAGTTCATCGATGCATTGTTGTAGAGTTAATCCACATCTAAAGTTGTAAAAAAATATTGCACGAAAATGCTACCGATTAAGTTCCATTTTGAACCATAACAATTTTTTTAATTTATTACAAAAAACACAAACAACCTAATTGAGTAAACCTAACCTCAAAATGTCAAACTTCCCTACGAAAACGTTAGCCGCCAGATGGCAGGACTAGTTTAAGAACATCCCGAAATATAAAAGGCAGCCCCGGTATAGGTCCAATCGGAAAGAAAGGTTTGTTCTAAATTAAAAATGTAAATTTGTGACATTTTAAAATTCCAATATATTTTAAACGAAAAAGACTTAATGTGGATTAAATTGTTATCTTAAACTTGACCTAGTGAGGTTTCAAAATTCTTATTAATCAGTACCACCTCGAAATTTCGTTGTTTAATTAAACGACATTGATTTCATTCATTTTACTTTTCGATAATAAAATCGATTCCGTCGCCAGAGAATGGGGAGGCGAATGGTTTTGAATTCAACTGGGGCGAAATAACGATATATTCATGTTTTTAGGCCTTAGTCACTGTCTAGCATAGTAAAGTTAGCGATTATAAATTGCCAACGTCACAACACCTCGAATTTGGATATGTCATCAACGAGTTTATTTAGACTTGCACGTACTTCTATTTATTTGATTCCATACTCCTGCAGTGTCGCTTAAACATTTTACGCACGACCAAAAATTTTTGTTTCAATCAATTAATACTCGTCGGCTAATTATGTTTCTGATCAGATATTTTGACGTCAAAAAAGCAATCAAATTAATTCGCCGCAAATCCGGCCAGTTTCAGATAAGATTAAACTGGGCCTTAGGGAATTTATTGCGAAGCATCTATTTCAAATTTGATACTTCATATATCGATGTTGAAGTGCGGTATACAGGGCGTGTAAAAATTAATCATAAAATTGGTGGATTGTGCGTTTATTCAAATAGTCTTGATTGTTTGTAGTTCATCTGTATTGTCGGTCTCCTAGGCGTGATGATGCTCGTATTGTTGCCGAAATATTTTTTAACCGATTCCAAATTGTCAGTTTTTCCATGAAAAATTAACTAAGCTAAGTAAATAACCAAAAAAATAATTTTTGAAATAGTCTGCAGTACAAAAACACAGCGGAAGATATAAAGTAAACAGTTTCTGACAGTAGTTACCCAAATATTTGTTAAATAATTTTGAGAAATAACTTGTTCAACATTTAAGGTTATGTGTTCATTATGTTACGTTATTTAATAAAACATATAATAAAAGTTAAGATTAATTATGGAAGTTTGTTTTGTGTTTTGGGAATGTTTACTAACAATTAAAGATTTTATCGTTTACCATATTACTATGGCCTTATCAGGTATTATTCATTCAATACCAACTTCGAGGGACATTATCGACAGTATGAAGAAATTCGAGACGAATTTTAACTAATTACGGAGGGATAAAAGGAATTACGGTTTATAAATTACCGTTACGTAGCTAACTGGGATCTGGGATATACCTAGTTAAATTTTACATTAATTAGCCAAGATACCTTATTTTAATAGGTAATTAAAATCACTTTCAAATAATATATATGGTCCATACGTAAAGTGGTACGTGAAGTAAAAGCAATTTTCCGTAAAAATTGTATTACTTTCACATATTTGTATAATTGTTAATATACTTTAGTAATTATACAGTGCCCGCGTAAATGATGGGACCCACCTTCTATTTTTTGAGCCTTTGTATATAGCACAATGAAATTTTCGCATGCACGTATATAAATAAAATGTCTAATTTATGACATAAAAACATTATCTCAAAATGTCAAAGTGACAGCAGGGCGTCATTTTAAGTTTTTTCTTTAATGGTAAAGGTCTTTTCACGTTCTATCCGAATACCAATTTTGAAAAAATTTGACAGTCAAATAAAGGCTTGCAAATGTTTTATTACTTAAATTAGAAAAATAAATAGTTTTATGATTTTATCAGATATTTTATTAAATGTTCGAAATTAGCACTTTTGCTTTTTGACAATAATGAAGTCTGTCAATAAACTATAATAGAAGCAGTATACAAAAGGGAAACATTTCGAACTGTGTTTTTCACTTTTTAGATACCCTCAAAGAAATAAGTCCAGAGGTGTTAGGTCTGGCGATCGAGCTGGCCATTCAGGGTCGGTTCAGGTGAGATATTATTTTTATGTAAAAAATTATACAGAAAAAAAATAAAAGGAGGGGTCTCATCATTTAGGCGAGCTCTGGATATAGTTAGTTTTTTGGAAAAACTGACCAAACCTAATGGATGACCAGAAATGATATTTGAAATTAAAAAAATGCCGATAAGGATGCATTGTTCTATTCAAAAAACATCCTGTCCACAGGTAGGTTGTAGTACAAAGTATTAAATAGTTACAGAGGTAATGATGATATAACGAAACTTAACCTAAAGTCAAGCCTAACATAAACATTAACTATAGTAAAAAAACACGGGAATGGGAAAAGACTGAAATTAATATTATTATTTTTAATGGGGAATAATCTTTGTCTACTCCCGCTTGTAACATACCTAATTACACACCGATCTCGCGTGCGGCAAACGTCACTTTACAACGTCAGTTTCGTTCCCCACGGATCCGAGTCACTTCGGACATTTCCGGGATTTTACCGCACGGGTTTGCGAGCAATCGGATGTTTTCGCTTTGAATTTTGACGTTTGTCAATTTTGACGGTCATGTCAATGAATGTATTCGTGTTGTTTTTGCAAAAATGTGCCCAAAAACTAACGGTCGTACAAAAAGTATAGTATGCAAAACGTTAGGTAAATTTTTATGTCACTCGTTTATTAAACACTCACTGCGCTGCGCTCCGCTTCGTGAGTCAAGTATCGTTTAGCACACTTGTTGCACAAAATACTATTTTAGCTCAGTAATGGATTGCGAAAAAAAGCCCAAACCGTGTTGACCATTTAATTTGGAGCACATTAACAAAATATGTGAAAATTTTAAAATATTAGTACTTGGTGTTACTATGTTTAGAGTTAATACGGGAACAAGAAAATTTAGTATGTGTAATAGGTCAGATCAATCAAACAAGTTATTTAAAATTTTAAATAAAGTAATTAAATAATGATAATCATGGCGATAACTAAGATACACATATCCAAATCTATGTATGTGTATGTATGTATGGTATGCAAAAGCATTGTGGGGGATATATACCATCCAACTTATACTTCATACATACTTCAAAAACTTAAGCTGAATTTTTTCCAGGATTTAATATGACAATTGTACCCAGGAGCCCAAACTATTGATACATACTCCAACTTACACCTGACACATGGGTTATGTAATACTTTGATCACTTCTGTATTTTTAAAGTCTCTTGTGGAACGCAAAATCCATAGCTTTTTGAAGCTTCTGCTGGACCTTATTAACATGAGGAACAAAGGATAATTTGGAGTCGAATATTACTCCCAAGTCACTAAAAATGCTAGAAAGGGAGAGAGTTTTATCAAAAAAATGATCATATTTCACAGCTGCCCTCATGGTGGTTAATGAGACTACATCACACTTGGCTATATTAAGTTGCAAGTTATTGTTTAGGGACCAATTATTGATTTGCGCCAAACTACGCTGAACACCCGACTTTTTGAAAAAAATGTACATCGTCCGCATATATCAATGTCATCAATGTCATTACACAAAATGTGGAATAATAATGGCCAAAATATTGTGCCTTGAAGAACGCCTTCATCGGAAGTGCATAGACGTGCTGAGTGTGGTTAGATAAGTATGAAGAAAACAAATTATCACGCAATTCGGAAAATCCAAAGGCACGGAGTTTGTGGATTAGAATTTTGTGATCTAGGCGGTCAAACGCTTTTGCCAAATCAAGATATATGACGTCCATTTGAGGACCTTCATCAATAGCTTCAGAAATATACTGAGCCATAGTCGTTAAATTGGTAATGGTGGATATTCCTTAAAAAAACCATATTGTTGGGGACAATTTGGTTCTTAACAACATGAAATATTTTGAGAGATTCTAAAACTTTACATTTGACATATACCATTTATTTTATATATTCGTCCAAAAATTCCAAATATGTTTCTGTCTCTTAATATAGGATTAAAGAATATAGGTGAAAGCCATTACTAGAATCTAGGAGAAAACAATACTACAGAAATTTTGACAAACGACGTTATGGACGTATCTTGTTTTTGTTCATATTTTTATACATCCGTATGACTTACCTGACTTTTAAACATGTTCAACTGCGTTATAACTATAACAAACAAATTACCGACTGCAGTAGAAAGGTACCATCCCGCTATCGTGACGGTTTTCATACTTTTCGGTGCCTAAAACTGAAATTTAACCATCTCCAACGCGAGACAGAAAGACAGCGGACCTGGGTAAAGGAAAACTCCAATCCGGCAACGCCGAACATGATTTCCGCCACGGATATCAGAAAGTATTGCGGAATTTGCCACAGAATGTTTACAGAGTTCGGGTCCGACATCGTGAATAGCTTTACAAACTGAATCCAATTTCGTGATTAAACGTAAATAATATAAAATAATTAAATAAAATAAATAGTTCTCACCGCAATTTCACCGCGATGTTCTCTGATCACCAACGAATAAACACCACCCAACGCGAAATGGAAATATTTTTCATATAGGTGAGTCTTTTCCGCGCTTGCGATTCTACATTCGTAACTAGAATTTGAAAATTATTTGATGTTATTAATTTTGAAAAAAATTGAAAAATTCCCGATATACGGATAACTACATCATGTCCATTTAAAAGTTCTGGAGAGCTAATAGTGGGAATTTTACATATGTGGATTGTACAATTTCCGAAATAAAAATTAATTGATATCTTTCTTATGAAAATCCCAACGTAAATAAGCCCAAAATGCATTTTTTTTTGTTTGACAATGCGAATATAAAACCTGCGTATATGAAAATAGTAATACATCCAAGGTGTCTCCAAAATATGCAATCTTGTCGAAATTTAAAAATAATAAAAGCTGTATTTTATTAGACTAATAATTGACCTACAATATTTTTACATACTAGGTGTGTTCAAATAATAAAGTGACTTTTAAGTTTTATCAAAGAGTATTTATTTTTTTATTAAAAGTAATGTTGTCCCCTTCAAAGCAATCCCCCCAGATATTATATCAAGCACTTTCTGGTATAGCCTTGAGTCCTTCCAGCGATTTTTTCTTTATCTTCTTCTATCGTCCTTTCTTTCATGGGTTTCTTTAGTTTTGGGGACAGAAAAAAGTTACAGCGGGCCCTTTCAGGTGAATATGGAGGCTGAGGCATGATTGTGGTTTTGTTTTTGGCCAAAAAGTTAGAAACAAGCAACGATCAGTGAGCAGGTGTATTATCCTGATGCAAAATACATGAATTATTTTCCCACAATTCTGGACATTCTCTTCGTATTGATTCTCGCAAACGGTGCATAACTTCTAGGTAATACTCTTTATTGACCGTACGACTACATTTGATCGAACTTGACGTGCTTTCTTCAATCTTCGGTCTTGATTTTTCAACCTACCATTTGTTTCACTTTTTTAACGCTTTCATCAGTTATTGACGTGCTATGACGTCCAGAGCAAGGTTCGTCATCGACGTCTTCTCGGCCATTTTCCAATAGCTTGTACCACTTATAAACATTTTTTTTGCTCACAGTATCTCTCACCATATACCGCTGTCAACATTTCAAGTGTTTTGCAGCAATGTATTCCATTTTTTACACAAAATTTTATATCATTTTTTTTTACAGCAGAAAATCGATGAACACACAACACACGTCTAAACAAAGTAAACGAGCAAACTGGCTGAAACATATTGTTTTGTCCGCGCGGAAACGGACTTTGGCCGCAGCTGGCACAGCAAGAAGTCGCAAAAATTACTCAAGACAGGATCAAAAGATTTTTGATTACTTAACTGACCCTACCTCGCTTTTGGTCTTCCTTCCGGAGGGGCCGGCCCGTGCTGCGTGCTCTGTGCTTCGAGTGGTGAGGAAATTTGTTGATCACCACGCGTATGACCTGATGCGTTCAACGGCACTTTTTGAACCACACGATGAGAGCGCCCGATTTAGCGCTTCACCGTGATTTTTCGTGGAGCATGCGCCTAAGGGCGCTGGCGGGTATAGATGGCCAGTTAAGTTCAAGAATTTAATACCGCGAGGAAAGGAAGAAGAATAACTTCTTGGTGCTGTACTCACGGCCAATCGATAAGCTATAGGTTTATATATATAAATTCATAAGAAGTCGAAAAATAATAAAATGAAAACTGAACACATATGTTAGGGAGATGGGTACCAACATAACAGAAAAAATATCAAAGATCGAATGTAAGCCCGCCCAATTACAAAAGTCACGTTACTTTTTGAACACACCGCGTATGTAAAGGAATATAAGAAGCGGCGGGGACATGTATCGACATTTTTTCGATACGGTACTGATCTATTCGAAAGGGTAGACAGATGAGTCCTCATTATACATATACCATATATGATATGTGATACCATGCGAAGTTTTTAGGCTCATGCATTTGCTAACCTCCTGATTAATTTGTGAATGTAAGTACCTAATCTTATTTATTTATTTAAATGACTCGATCTTTATTTTCATTCACCTTTTTGAAAGGTCTTGTATTTAGGAATATTTCCTGGATAAATTTGTACGGACCCTTTTTGTTATATTTAGATCCAAAGGAAATGTTCACCACCGTTAAATTGAATTTATATCAGACTGGAGAGAGAGAGAGAGAGACAATCTATATCAGACCTTATTTGCGAAGCGATTCAAAATAAATACATACTTATAATAAATGATCATGAATATCTATTCATGATCATTTTTTCTTTGTGCGAGGTTGTATTTAAATTAATTTTAATTATTATTGCAATTTATTGGACAAAGTTACTGAAAAATAAATAACTTGTCAACAAACAAAAAATTAAAAATAATAAACATTTGATAAAGACACGGTGTTGTCGAAACAATTGTCATGTGAATATATATAATTTCGTGAGAATCTGAACTTTTAGTTCCTATTTATTTTGTTAAATTGATTTTTATCAAGTAAAGGCCACCTCAGTTCAATTTTCAAAAACTTAAATGAAAACTGTAGCACTTCATCTGAATTAGAGAATATATATATATATATATATATATATATATATATATATATATATATATATATATATATATATATATATATATATATATATATATATATATATATATATATATATGTATATATATTTACATTAACGAAAAATTCCTCAAATTCCGCTAGTTGATTCGTTTCCTATATACTTTTCAGTTATGTACTTATGTGATCCACTCATTATAAAATTTGCAAAAGAAGCCATACTCACACTCCCTGTGGAATTTCAATGTACGGCGAACCTATTAGAACCTCATCATCTGTGTGACTCAGGAAATAGCTATCTTGCAACCCCGTTGTACTTTGAAACGTAACAGATAAATTACTCAGCAACTTTGACGTCTTTATAAAATCGATCCTATAGAAAACTGTATACTACTATTCCGTCTTCGTATCGAATGTACCTTATTCTCGGGGCTCCGCTGATTGATTTTTTAAAGTCTATTGGGTCGGTAACATACCCTTGGATTTCATCTTCACTGTTTATGCCTATTAGAACTGTGTCTACCTGAAACCACGTTTAAACTTAGCAGCGGTAACGACTAAATATGATTACAATTTTACTGGAAATAGTGATTTTTTGAAGCACTCCTTACGGAAATTTAAAAAATTGTTGCGTGGTTCTTAAAATGAAAAAGGTTTGTTGAAGAATACGCTCCTTACACTAAAACATTCAATTTTCAAGAATCGGGAATGTGAAAAGTATCACTTTGAATGTTTGTTGTTTCTCTTCAATAGGGTCCTCAAGAAGTTTATGCTTAAGGAATCGAAATGTCAGTTAAAAGAAAAATTGCCAGCAAAGATTCAATTCTGAAGGAAGCTAGTCACTGACATAAAATAACGGACTAGTATCAAAATTATTATTATAATAACACTCACCTGGTATTCTACGAAAACAGCGGAAAGTTTAAAAACTTCCCGCTTAAAATTAATCAAACCGCAACGCAGCGGCGCTTCCACCATCAATCCGTATTCCGTGCGATTGTGACAGGGCATATTTTTAAATCGGAATATTTCGCCTTTATCTACCACCTGCAGTCGGTTAAACGGATTGGTGATGCTCAGGCTGCAAGGCAGGGTATTGATGACGTTTAAGGAGCCGTGATTGCGTACTGGCATCTCTGGGTATGTGGTTTCCAGCACTAGTTCCAAAATGCCGGCTAAAACATTCACTGGGCAGTTCCGAACTGACGCTAGATAGCAGATGCTCCGAGTAGCATCGACTTGGAGTAGTGTGGAGAACGCAAGATACTTTTAGGTATTTAAGATTGGCTGAAAATGCTGCACGCCGGTGTCTGCAGTGTGGCATAGAAATTGCAACACCCGGTACGTGCAAATATATTTTATTTTGGGAAAGCAGCAAATTTATAGAAAAAATTCCTAAAAAATTCAATAATGAAATGAACCTCCACGTAAGTTTTAAAATACTGTAGATTTTCGCGGCATATAGCATATAGATGATTGATATCTGCCTTTGTAGTTTTTCGCAGGACTGGGATTGATTTCCCGGATGTGTCATTTTACTCAGCTTTCTCCTTATCATATCCCATATATGTGCAATAAGTTATATGTCTGGTGACTATGCCAGCCCGCAGCTTGTGGGAAGAAGTTTCTAATAATCGGAGCGGTTTGCAGACTAAGATTGTCTTCCTCATAATTTGGTCTTGCAGTTGCGAAAGGTAGAATAACGCGACAAGTTGTAACACGTTATTAATGTAGGATTGAATATTCATTTCTTTTCCTTTTTAGGGTGCCTGTCCGCTACAAACTTTGGCGATCATTCTGGCTATGAACATTTTCTTGGTTGCAATCCGGAACATTTGTGTGAAAGACTTGCCAAACTATTCTCGAAGATTGGCCAGCCATTTTCCTTTGTTCCTTATGAGGTAAATTCACGGTGTTGATATTTCCATGGAGGTTTTCATTCTCCGTAACACTTCTTCGTTAGTAACCTTCTGGGTCCATGGTATCTTCAAGATTTCCTGTACAGCCAGCATTCAAACATGGTTTCCTGTTTTAAAGTCCATGACTCCACACCGTACAGAGACAATTTTTTTTATTTCCAGTGAGACGTTGTGGCTTTTGAATACCTGACCCATAGCTAAGAAAGCAATTTAAGCCATTGCAATTCTGCATCGGATCTCTTGAGAATTGTCCCACGGTTCATTGATTATAACTCTCAGGTATTTATATTGTGAGACTCTTTGGATTCTTGTTTGGTTTATGTATAGATTTGCTCCTTTGATGTCTTTCTTACTTATTATCATAACTTTGGTTTTACCAAGTGTCATGGAAATTATGAAATCCCACAAGAGCAGTCTGACGCTAACTCTTCTACGACCAACGAACGTTAGCCCACAAACCAACGAACAAACTCCTCATTCCAGTGAGTGTTGTTCTTAACACCATGCGATGTCATTCTCAATCTCTATTGGTTAATGGCAATACCATCCGAGAGCGGTATGATTTTAGCCCATAAGCTCTATTTGATAATTCGATCTAGAGTATATCTGTTGATTGCGTTCTGCGTTCTGGTTCCCGCATTGACTCTACCACACTGTCTAAATCTTGTTTCTAATTTCTCGAAAGGGCCTCTTGCAGGCCTACTATCCTACCCCAATCAACATATATTGCAGCCGGCCTCTTTCTGTTTAAGTTTTAATATTTGGTTTTCGGTTTTATGGTATCACATTTTACAGTTTTATGGGTGTCAAAAAATTTGACACTCTACCCTGAGGCAAGAAACATAGTCGTTCTATAGCTAAAAGTGAAACTTTCTGTAGTCTTTGCTCTGATAGTGAAATGACATCTACACCGTGCAGGCGTTATTAAGAGGTCATTATTATATTTTAAAAATGTGAATTCCATAAAATTCCTATATTGTGCTCTGGTTCGATCCCACTTGGAATATGCTTCATCTCTATGGAATCCTGATTATCAATGACATATTCGTCGAATCGAACAAGTTCAGCACCGTTTCCTTCTCTATATTGCTTTTGAGTTGGGTGTCGACTGGGCTAACATCGATTATGTGGCCCTTGAAAACCCTTAAAGCTCGTCGTGATGAAGCCGATCTGTTGTTGCTGTTCAAACTTCTTAATGCCAGTTGTTTTTGTCCCTCCATTCTGTCAAAAATTGAGTTTTTGGCACCAATATGAACGATTCGTCTAAATAGCACTTTTTCTGTATCCTACCACAGGACCAACTATGGACGTAATACATTCGTCGCAAGGGCGGCACGGCTGGCCAATGAGAACGAGCATTTGGACTTTTTCACTACTGAGGATAGGTTTAGGAATCAGATTCAAGCAAGCATAACCAATGCTTTTGAGATTGTAACCCAGGCTTTTACTTTTACATTTTACTTTTTTATCAACCTGTAATATAAGTGTGCATTTTTCCTAAGTTTTTTGTAGAAATGGACTCTGTCCGTGAAACTAATAATAAATAAATAATTGTTACAAATCTCAGAGAGGCTTTATTTTCCCCAGTAATCCAGTAACTGGTGTGTACGAGAAATTCGTTTTGAATTAAAATTTTCGTTCCCTAAACTACATTTTGTAGAGATTTGTAGCTTATTCCGTGTAGGCGATCGACTAAGCAAATGCAAAAAGTATCCTTATTGCTCTCCGATGAATATGTTGTTATGTTCACCGCATATTCCGCCCATGTTGTACTAGGAATTGCAGAACTTGGGGAAACAAAATGGTGAAGATATGAATGGATACATTTATATTTTTTTATTAAAGGCTCATTAGAAAGGCAAATGAGCATTCAGGTTTCAGTGAAAGATGAAGCTGTCTGAGGTTATTGGTTAGAGAATTCCCACTATACAACACGAACAATGAATTCATATACAGGATGTTCCATTTAATTTTTGAAAGTTGCTCTCTGTATCTTTCTTTTAATATTTTAAATAGTGTAGAGGATCTTATGTAGGACATCGTGTACCGAAAATAATTAAACACTACTCTTTTGACAGTCAGATTGTTACTAACTTCTCAATTTGCTATCGATAATGGCGAAAGATATGTTTACCTGCGATGAAAGCTAATCCGGCGAATAATCCTCCTATGGCCATCCGGTGCAGAGAATTTTGAAGGACGTTTATTTTGTCGCATCCCGGGTAAAAAACTTTGTCGAAAATTGGAATTAGCACCAACACCATGGCCGGATTGATCACTTGCATTTGATCGGGTATTATCTGCATCCCCAATATGTTGCCGTCCATATGCGATGCCTACGCGCGATATGGTAAGAGCAAGAAAAAAGAATTGAGTTTCAGGGCTACCTGAAAAGTCCATCTCGAACCTTGCTGATCGAAAAGGGACCAAAATATCGGCAGGGGTGTGTACAATAGTAAAATTGAGAAGACCGCCTTCATATCCGCGATAAGTTTGATGTCAAACTTCCGTCTGGCATAGTCGAGCCAATGTTCGTGCCTCAACTCGGATTCCTTTACCCTTTGCGCTAGAGCATACTACCTTTACCATTAGTCAGAGTGGCGAGTCGACGATACCTACCACGGAACAGTTCAAGAATTCTAATATGATGTTTCGTTTCGGCGTTTTAACTTTGTAGAACTTTTTTCCCAGGACGAAGAATACTGAAACAAACGCCATAAAGCAGTGACTCGTGCGGCTCGATGCGCTTACGTATCGCGAGTACCATCAGGGCCATTGGAAATCCAAATCCGAGGGGATAACAGCTGTCGTCACCGAAACAGGTGACGGACTCTCTCAATATAGGGGTAATCACCATGCCCGCGAATCCCCCGAGGTTGATGGTGAAGTAAAATATCGAAAAGAAATCTCGCAAGAGGTCAAACTGGTCGGGCAAATGAAATTGCTCTGCTCCAAAGGCGGCAACGCACGGTTTCAGGCCTCCGGTTCCTACCGCTACCAGTAGGAGGGCCATGCTTGACATTAATCTAGTATTGGATGATAATATTACAAAAAATAGCAGCAGCTACAAAAGGTCGTGTAGTTTTTGCTATTAATTCTGCTTGCCTTGTCCTATCCTGAGAACAATTCAGGACCGCCAGACGCATACTACAAGGAAGAAAACAAGACAAAAGAATTGCGGGAAGAAGACGCACTTCATGCCTGAAGAACTTAAAAAACCGACATCACTATACATTAATATTAAATAATACAGTGAACGTTGTATGCAAGCAACTTATTTGATTTCATTAAAAAAGTGTCTTATTATTAAAAGTTGGTTATAGGGAAAAATAATTAACGTCTGGAAAATATTTTTACTTATAACAAATTCAGATTTATTTTGCAAAAGAAAACATTTTGTGATTATTATGTTAGCGTAGTTGTTAATTATATTAAAAGGAAAAACAATCAAATTTTCATAAATCTTTGCTTTAGCACATGCAAAAATAATTACATATGTTTGTTCATAATAGCTTTATAACAAAAGAACCTCATTGCAGGGTAAGTCATTTTTTTGCCCATCCTATCTCCAAATTGAAAAAGATGTTTAAATAAATTTTGTATAAGTAACACGACAACAACCTCTTTCAAATTTATATTTTTTACTGCTGAAACTAACTATTCCATCATCTGCACCTAAGGCTGCAAGACATGCAAGTAGATGTTTACGATAGCGTTGTTTTAGCTTCAGTTTTATTGATAATAGTGTGTTATTGGGAGGAAACCACAACTTTGAAATTTGGGTTACCAGTAAATTTATTCTCAGAACCACTGCAAGAAGTTGCAATAACTACTATGAGGTTCCAAGTGTCGAGTTACTAATGGTATGAATATATCAATATACCAGTGGCTAAAGGGTTATAAGTTTACCGAGCATTTTTGGATGATTTGAAATATACAGACGAATCCATATTTTTGAAACAACGAGGAGATTTCGATTTCTCTATCAGCATCAAATCTAATTTATCTAATTGTAAAGCTTAATTGCTTTCATAGTTCCATATATCTACCGTGGTGTTTTTGTTTCATGTCTATCTATCTATTTACTTCGAATGCTTTTAATTTTTTAATTTATTTCATTCATTATCATTTTATCAACTACATCGTTTAATTGTTGCCATTCCAAGAACCAAGAAACCACCATATCGTTGATTTCACTATATTTTTGGATGAATATTTTTCTTAATTTTCTTTATTTTATTTTAATCTACTTATTGTAGGTTTATCAACTTTATATTAGTTACAAATATCTTTTGTTTCCTTACCATGTTCAATGTCATAGTGGATGGTTTCTGAAACCGGGTGACACAAGTGGGAACACATAACTTTTAAAAGGCTTGAGATAGCGATTTGAAATTTGGAAGGGTTAATGTAGGCTGAATGTCCAATTTTTTGACAATTGCACAGCCTACATTTTTAGGGTACGGTGGGTGGGATGGTTTTTCTCTTTTTTTATTTTTATTTTATTTTTGAAAATTGTGTTTAGAAGGCTGATTATGGGAAAAATTGTAAATGAAACTTTTCTTTACTTGTCTAATGGAAAATGGCATTTAATGTAGTGAACTATCTTTTAAAAAGTAAGCTCACAAGAAGGAAGAAAACAGATAAGTAAATCAATTTTATAAAAACAAATTATTACTTATTTGGCTTTGCTTCTATTCAGCAAGTATGAACAAGTTGATATGTTTCTGATATACGGGGAATGCAGAAAAACTCTCGACAGGCCCGTGCATTGCATGCAGCCCGCTATCCGGGATGTCGCCTTCCTGTACATCCTTTTTTTAGAAAGCTGGAATTGAAAATGAGAAATCCACAAAATAATCGACATGATAATTTTATTATAAGTGAAGAAATGGAAATCAATGTTGTGGGATACGTCAACTTAAATCCAGCTGCGTCGCTAAAAAAAGTAGCATTAGAATTAGACATCTCACGAGAATCTGTGAGGAGAATTAAAAAAAAACCCGGCTATCATTCTTTTAGGTATAACCGTCATCAACATCTTTATGAAGTTGACTTTGTAAGATAATAATAATGCTATGTTTAACCGACAAAACAACAGATACTTTAAATAATCAAAGAATTATTCTTCCCGGGCGGTTTCAAGAACTGTTCGGAATCAATGTTTGGGCAGGAGTGATTGGAAGGCGAATAATTGGACCTGTTCTTTTTTTCATGGTGCCTTAACTGGTGCACGCTATTTAAAATTGCTAATAAATAAAACTGAATACTCGTTAGATGATTTACCTCTTTCCGTGACATTAAATATGTATTTTCAGCAGGATGTCGCGCCTCCCCAAAATTTTAGAGATGTCAGTGAACACCTACATGATGTTTATGGCGATAAACTAATCTCAACACCACTGTCCCCCGACTTGACACCGTTAGATTTTTTTGTTTGGGGCAAGTTCAAAGACCATGTTTTTGTAACTTCAGTCTTGGACCTACAAGAATTACAGCGGAGAATACCGGCTGAATTTGATAGTATAACTCCAGAAATGTTAGGAAGGGTTACAGCGAATGTAATTTACAAGAAGAAGCACATTTTGAAAACATTCTATGAAAGTTTCATCGTAAAATGAATTGGTTTAAGTAAATATCTATTTGATTTGAATATATATATATATATATATATATATATATATATATATATATATATATATATATATATATATATATATATATATATATATATATATATATATATATATATATATATATATATATATTCTCACGTATTGATTCACGGATGGAAAAATGTGATGACACTATATTCCGGGATATCATCCGTTCGCTCGTTGAACTCCGACTGGAATCCTGCAAATCTTGCATCCGACTGGAATCCTGCAGACGTTTCGCCAAAACCTCACTTGGCATCTTCAATGCTCGCACTCCGAAAACACTTCGAAGGATTCCAGTCGGAGTTCAACGAGCGAACTATCATATATATATATATATATATATATATATATATATATATATATATATATATATATATATATATATATATATATATATATATATATATATATATATATATATATATATATATATATATATATATATATATATATATATATATATATATATATATATATATATATATATATATATATATGATGACACTATATTCCGGGATATCATCCGTTCGCTTGTTGATGGCTTTGCTTCCATTCATTATTAATTGACAAGTCTATTGTTTTTTACTGTATAAAAACATATCAACTCTTTACCGTAATAAAACACTTTCAGCAAAAAATTCTAATCCAATTAAATACTGCATGAGCTTGTCGAGAGTTTCCTCTGCATTTGTAATCTTAAAGACTTGTCAATTAATAATGAATGGAAGCAAAGCCATCTAAATAATATATTGTTTTTATAAAAATGTATTTAATTATCTGGTTTTTTCCTTCCTGTGAGCTTATTTCTCAGCGGATTTTGAAAATTTTGGTGTGAAAATGTTGCAAAAAAGTACCAACTAGGGCGCTGTTTGAAAAAACTAGGTTATCCTAAAAAATTAATAGTTCATTACATTAAGTGCTATTTGCCATTAGACGTAAAAAAATTTTAATTTACAATTTTTCCCATGATCAGGTAAATAGTATTTACATGATCCTAGCCTCTTAGATACAATTTTCCAAAATTAAATAAAAATTGAAAAAAAAAATGAAAAAAATATTGGATGTGCCATTTAATTCGAAAGTTACTGTCGTTTCCGCTCAAACCGGAAGTGCAACCATTGACTACAGATTGTCAAAACATTGGACATTCTGCCTATATTAACCCTTCCAAATTTCTTTCTCAAGCCGTTTAAAAGTTATAGAGTGTTCCTATTTTCTTGTGTCACCCGGTATAGAGCGTTCACTGTGATAAATTATTTCGAGCATCAAAAGCAAGAACCGCTTTTTTCTAAAAAAGAAGAAGGGAGCGGGGCACGCACTATTACTATCAATTATTTTCTACAACCAAAATAACATTGAATTCTTATGTGAGTACAGTAAAGGACATTCAAATACCGATTCATGTATTTGGGAAATGAGGATCAGGATTGTACCGCCATTTTAGGCAATCCAATTTGTCTACATTCAATATTCTATAACTAGAAGGATTCTAAGAGAAGTTGATTTCCATTCATAATTTCTACGAGGGCAGAGAGATAGTTTTAAAAATTTTGGGAATGGGTTCCTCTGTTATTGATTTGATACTGAAGACTGTTGCATAAATCTGATTCGAGTAGAGAAAAGTTCGTTCAGTTAATAGATATTTATGAACAATATCCAATTTTGAATGTTTCTACAACTATAACACCAATGCGCTGTTTTGAATCTTTAAATGGATATTGTAAACCTATATATGAGTAATGTAAAAGCTAAGTAATCTTAGACAGGTATAGCTTTGCGAAATTGGGTATCTGTTCTACCAAATCTAATTCCACGAGGCGTACTACTTTTTCACAATCTTCCATTTTGAAATCGCGAAGGTAAACATTCTTCCCATAATTTTCTTGATGTTTTTTCTTTTCCTATTTAATGAAAAAGGCACCATCAGCGGGTCTATCATATTATACACCCGAATAACACCCTTGTTCGCTTCCTAAGTGCGCGCTCTGCCCGTTTGGGTGGTTTCGGTTCTTTCTTAAATAACTACTTGCTTACATTGGGTTGTGATCCAAAACAGGAACTACTGCGACGCACATGAGCACATTTCCTATCAAATATATCAGCGAGAAATTGCGGATTGTCCTAAAAATGGACAATAATTTAGTCCTATTTATTTATTAAATACCGCGTTATTTTGGAAGTTTTCTTTTTGTCCAAAAAGTTATTTTTGAAAAATTTCTTTTTGTCCAAAAAGTTATTTTTGAAAAATTTCCGGGTTTAGTGAAATTACGCTTATGTAAAACAATGTCCGTCAGAGTGCGTTCGTATATGCGGATTACAAGTTTTACGACCCGGCTCAAACGTCAGTAAAATTCTATTGTTTCGACGATTTAAAGTATGACGAACGATTTACGTCTTTATCTGACACTCTTAAAGCCCGCATTATTTATATTGGTATTTTTTAGCGTTAGATAAAATTTACAAACTTTGTAATAGACAGAAATCGGCAAATGATTGATGACTCGCGAATGCAAAATTTAAAATATATTTTCTTTATTACCTGTATCTGCCGAAGTAGCTGTCTGCGCATATCGCTCCCACTATGGGCACTAAATAACACACCATATTGAAAACGTGGTAGATAACGGTGGAGGCGTTTTCGGAAAACAAAAGGATATTTCTCAAATATAGCGACAAAATCGCTGGAAATGAAAATCGGAGTTTAATATAAGCTTGTAACCGAGATTCAATTTTCCCCTACTCCTCAATCCGCAAAAGGAGAATCTTTCGCAGAATTCGGTAGCTATAATACAAATTACCGCAGTGGGATACGAAGAATCCTAAAATTATTATCGATTGATTATGAGTGCTGACTGTAATAATTTAAAGCGTTACCAGGTACATTTTTGCGAAAGATTAGCACTATTTTTATTTGACCAAAGGTTCTGGCCACGTCAAATTGACATGAATCAAATAAATATCTATCGGTTGTTTATTAAAAGCTAGGAGTAACTAAAACAAATACTGAGGTTTCCGTATGTATAGAAAGTTTTGTACAGTCGTTCGACATAAATCAAAATAAGAAAATGTTTGCAAATGTTGTTCTAGGGGTTCTAGGGTACAGATATGTGTGAAAAAACTTAACTCTATATTATTTTGATTTATTTTTAGTTTTATATAATTAATTATGTCATAGAGAAGAGTAACTATTTTTAAGTAATAAACATATGATATTATTGACATCTCACGCCCCGTTCGCAATCGACCAGAGTGAAAATTATTTTGAAGTTTCTGAGCCATTTCATAGAGACCATACTAAAAGGATAACATGATGCCAATATCGCCTCTGGTGGCCGTTTTGATATATTGATATAGCTTGAAAACAAAAAAAAGTTAAGGCCTTCTGGTTTTTATGATCGAGTTCCTCTTAAAAAAGCCACAGTGGCTTCTATTTGTTTCTATTGTCCTTGTAGGTTAAATGTGCCCACCTTGTGCGTTAATCCACTTTCACTTTCATCTGTTATTCAGTTTGGCCTATTTGTCCGGCTTGCGTTTCTGTGTAAAATGTCGGCCATTGCCTTTCTCTTGCTCTCCGAGCTATGGTAGCATTTCTACTGTCTTCGTTGTTGGCAGGTGGTCTTTTCGTTCCCTTTCCGCCCTGAACATGCCCCTTGGTATTCTTTGATTAATAGTACAGTGCTGTCCGATAAATAAGCATCCCTGAACAGGGCTCGAGAACTTGATTCACTGATATTTCACCTCTCAAAGTGGAGTAGTAAACCTTTTTTTTTATAAAAAAAAGAATTAACATAACAAATTTGACATCTTGGTCTATTTGTGAAGAATTTTGATATATTTGATACATTTTGATATATGGATATTGGGCATCGAAATGGTATTTAGATTTAGAGGTATTAGATTTAGAGGTTTTAGAGGTCAGAACTAAACTGGCGTTTTATATCTTTTATTACAACTTACAAAATCTACTTACATACAGGAATACACATTTATATTTTATAGGAATTTTATACATCAATTTAAAGCTTAATATTAATCAACATTTAATAAAATAGTTGTGCAAAGATAACGCTTAACCATAATCTGGGAATGTTTGCATGAAAAATATCATAACACAAATACAATACAAAAATAGGTACACTTATATAAAAGTATGTAAAAAAGAATTGTTTTTAACGGCAAGTAATGAAACTGTTTTTACGTCAATGTTCGACCCATGAGGGCTCGTTTAAAATGAACGAAAACGTGTGACAGCTAGGTTTAAAGCGATAACACAAACTACAGTTTTAGTTTTCCATTAATTCGCACAGCTTCATCAGAAAAAATTCGTTTCCGACGACAACACATTGAGATCGATTGAAACCATCAAATATTTAATGTTAACGCTGAAGTCTGATTACGAACTATACAATTACACATACTCATCTCGTCGTTCGATCCTGCGATTTGCTTATCTTCTTCATGTTTGTTCTCTAATACGCTATGGTCCCTATCACAATTTTTGTTTCTTTAATCAAGAAATCACAGTTTTCGTGAAGGCAACATTTGACTCGGTTTTCTCTACATGAACATGCGAATCATCTAGCACGTCGTCTAGAAAATAGTCTTCAACGCTCGGGTCAGAAAAAAATGTGTTTTCTTTGTTCAATAATCAATAGTATTTAACGGAAAACAGAGAAATTTGCTTATTTTCGAGTAATATTACTAATATCACTCGTTATCAAATTATATACATGGATGTGCGTTAAAACATTGCTTCAATAACCGTTTTGGGTAGTTATTGTTCTTGCATTTAGGCTATGGTCCAAGTCAGGTGAAAACAATTCATATTAGTTTTGCTTAAGTTGGGAAATTGGAATTTCTTGTCAGTTCTAGAACTGTCTCGTGGATGTTTGAGTTTTAATGAACATGAACGAAACTTATTCCAGAATTAGTTCATTCAAAGTGGAACTTAAACAATTTGAACGTTGAAAACGTGAACTATAGTGTAAAGAAAAGGAATGACTTTTTTACGATATGCTAGATGTTTATGTCACTCTTTATTGATTGTTCTTGTTTACGCGAAATGTGCCTACTTTGTCCTATGCGCCTATTACCGATTCTGCAAAGGTTACTGCACTAAAAGCAGTAATTGGTTGCGACAAATAAGTTAACCTGTTTCAAAGCAACCAACCACCGTGAACTAGTACTGTAAGAAACTTTTTCTGGAACTACAGTTGCTGATAGGCTAAGACCGAGCAAAGCTATTTTGAGTTACTTAATATCTCAACAATGCAACATTGCGTTAATTTAAAAATACATTTAAAGCAAACTGAAATAAACTATAGAAGCGCTGGCCAAAATCATTTCTCAAATATTTTGTTCCGTCTGCAGTGTCGTTTCACATCAAAAGAAACGTAAATATGCGAATTAAGAGGTAAAATAATAAGACAGATAAAAAAAAATTAAAGTAGGTTTGACAATTCAGTAAATTTTGCAGAAATACTAAAATTTCCAGGTTAGGTTATGGTAAAGCGAATACATTTTATTGCAAGATATGTACATATATATTTTATGTTTTTTTTTATTCATAATTAGCAGAAATTTCAGGTGTTAGTAAATTATTATAAATCATGCGTTTTCATATCGGTAATCCTATAAAAATTGGCAGCAACAGAGGCAAGAGAAACTGTGGAATCCCTTAAATCAGTCTACTATGTCATTTTCAAAAATGTTATCGCGAAGATATGATTGTATGCGTATTTTTCATTTCAGCACAGTAGCGTCAAATACTTATCATTAAAGTGTTTATATTTAGTACACTTTACATCTATAAAAACATTTAGTACGATAGTAATTAAATACTGGAATACACCGTTTTACATTATATACAGCCTATATAGGGAGTGATTCTAAAAAATGGGAAATTTAGAAACCGGACTTACGACGCACAATTATATGAAAGAATTAAGCTAAACTAAAGGGTGCGATATTTTTTTTACGAAAATTTAAAAATTTTGGCGGTAGCAACAAGAGAAAAGTGATTTTTCTTGACAGCCCGAAATCTACACATTGCCTATGGATTCGTCCAAGATATTTTGTAATGATTTTGGTTTCCATTGGGTAGCAGCATAGTTGGTGTCAAAAGACCTCAGTTTTATACAAAAAAAAATACCATATTGACATCGCAAAAGAAATGATTTGCCTAAATCCGATCCCACATTCGTCAAAAAGCCTATTACAGGAGACGAGACGTGAATTTGTGCGTACGAAACGCAATCCGGACATCAGGCTTCACCAAATGAGCTGAGACTAAAAAAAAATACGTCGTTTTTAGTCAAAAAAAGAAGGCAATGCTGACGGTTTTCATCGATTACAATGGTGTAGTGCATCACTGAATACACCTGATTTGGCTCCCTGTGACTTTTTTCGGTTCGATTGGATTATACTCTGGCATAAGTATGTGGCAGTCGATGGGATAGATTTAGATTAATAAGCTTATATTTTTAAATTTCTGAATAAATTAATAAATTAAGAAATCAGATAACATTTCTTCTTCTTCTTGATGTGTCTATCTGTTCCGGATGTTGGCTGTAAGCAAAGCGATCTGAACTTTGTTGACTGTTGCTCTGAATAATCCTCGTGTTGACAAGGAAAACCAAGTCCTAAGATTTTTCAACCAGGAGATTCTGGTCTTCCAGGTTCTCTTCTGCCCAAGATGTTTCCTTGGAGTATCAATTCAAGTAGACAATATCTCTTTTGGTTTCTCATTATATGTCCCAAATATTCTAATTTGCGTTTCTTACTGATGTCCACTATTTCGGTGTCTTTCTGAAGCATTTCTAAAACTTCTTCTTGGAAACGTGATCAATCCATTAAATTCTTACAATTCGTTTGTAGAGCCACATCTCAAAGGCTTCAAGTTTTTTTTGTGACGCTTCCATCAATGTCCATAACTCGGGATCATACAAGAGCACAGACCATACATACTTAAGTAATCTTAGTTTGGTTGGCAAATTAAGGTTTCTACTCTTAAACATTTTTTCCATTCTAAGGAAAATGGCTCTTGCTTTCTCTATACGGCATTTTGCTTCTATAGAATCGTCCCAGTGCTCATTAATCGTAGTGCCCACATATGTGTAATTAGCTACTTTTTCGATTATTGATAGTCTATTAGGCAGAGGTATACGTTACAGTCAACATCCCTACAGCACTGCAAAAGAACCTGAATAGCATTTCTAAATTCAAATTGTGTGTTAGATAAATTTTTCTCACATTTGTTATATGTTAGTTTATGAATTATTTTCAGATATAACTTGAGAAGTTGGCTCATGAGACTAATTAGTTTTGTTTAGTTTGTTTTCGTTCTGCACTGTTTTTCTTAAGAATATAAATGCGGATTTCAGCCAATCTAGTGGAATATCTCCGGTATCGTAAATATGGTTAAATAGTTTTGTTAGCCACATCACCCCATCTCTGTCCAGAAGTTTCAGGAATTCTGAATATACGTCATCTGGCCCCTTCGCTTTTCCAGCGTGTTTAACGGTCTTACACACTTCGTCAGCCCTAATAAGTGGGCCCGTGTTGGCGTTGATTATTGAGACGTCAGTTCTCTCATTCTGGGATAGAGTGTAAATATATTTCTTCCAACTAACCAACCAACTATTTCTTTCATCTAACAGGCGGCTCGCCATAGGTGTTTTATATAGACCACTTACTTCTTTGACCCTATTATGCACGTTGAAGCTATAGTGTTTTTTTTTTAAATATTTCTAAGCATTTTTATAAGCCCATCTTTCTTTAGCCTCTCTTATTTCTTTTCGTATGCTTCTTTACTATGAAGTAATCTTGTCTTTAACTACGTTTAGGTTTTTCGTTTTTTAATATTTAGGAATGAAAATTTAGAAAATTATAATAGTCATTTGTTGTTATAAAAAAATGAAAGCCATTTGCAGCAAAACTTTGATTCTAAATATCTCGTGATCTATTTGGAGGACATTTTATTTAAGTTTTCCTATTTAACATTGTTCTAGAGAATTAACGAAATACCTATCGTGTGGCCAATCAGAAGGACAATCGGCCCTATTTCCAAAAATTAATTGTCGTCAAGACTTGAAAAGCTGGCGGTCATTCTAGAAATTTAAAAATAATTTCCATGATTTTCTCATAGCAATTTTTAAAATTTTTGAAAACAAAATATCACACCCTGTAGTTCCTAAGCTAGCAACATTTGTAGAGAGCAATTTTCGTTCAACTGTGACATACTTATCATCATATATTCAGTTTCTGGATTTCCTTTCCGTTTTGAACCACAAATTTACTTAGTGCCATAACAAAATACTGGTACATTGACCAAAAATACTTTTTCTAATCCGGTTCGTATTGTCTAATTCATACATTTCGTTCGAATTAAAAATCAGTGGCTAGACAGGCACTAGCTGTGTTTTTATTTTAAATTCATCAAGATAGGAATTTTTGATTGAAACTTTATTTTTATTGGTATTACCTGGACGTTAAATAGCTATTAGCGTCTTACCCTGCAACATGTTGCAATTTAATAGAAAAATATAAAACTCGCTTTTTGAAAATTTGCACTTTGACCGTGGACTGGTTGGATATTTTCGTATTATTTAACCTACGGTAAGCCAATCAACAAATCAAGTTAAATTGGGGCATATATGTGAACTGCATATTTAATGTCGCTTTATATATAGAGCCGCCCCATTAAGTGAGGTTAGTAGAAATCATATATGGCGTCACAGAGGTTGACTATCAAATTTAAGGGTGGACGGGGGTGGTTATTCAGAATCAGAAACACAACAATTTAAAAAGCATCCTTTTAAATTTTTTTCCAAAAATGTTTTATAGAAAAGAAGAAGACTTCAAAACTATATTTGTTTTTTTGCAAATATTTGATTTCAATAATGGGAGAAACTTCCTTATCAATGAGAAGGAAACTGTTTTAAATGTTTTGCCAAACTCTTTATTTTTGACAATATTATTTTGTTTATGGGAAATACAAAAATTAGTAGATGTATTTTTGAAATTCTTGATACATAACAAAAAAAAGTTTACCACTTTTTCAAGGGAATGTCAAAATATTTTGGATGCAATTTTCAGAGCGGTCCTATAACAGTGTTCCCATAATCACCCAAAAAGAAATTTTACAATGTTGTATGATCACCTGACTCGCAGGTCCTTCTATAACCTCTACAAAGTAGCATAAAGAACCCGGACAAAAAATAAAAGTACAAATAAGAATACTACACAGAGAAAATGCAGGAAAAAAAAGTTTAAATATTTGAACGCCACCAGACAAAATGCAATAAAAGCAAACCAGGCAGCCCAAGGAACAAAGGCATTTAGATTCAATGTGAAGGTTTATTGAGAGAGAAAGAGATAACCACTATGGAATTCAGATAAATCTATAAAACTATGGAGGGAGTAGATCGCACTGACAGACTAAAACCTAACTCTCGCAAACTCAGATACCTACAATTGCTTAATAGGATCTGTACGAGTATTGCATGGGACAATTTTTGGACGGGATTGTATTTTCATAAATACTAATAAATTTTTGCTATTATTGCTTACATCAGGCATTAATAATGCTCTCGAAGAGGCGTTGTTGAGTTTGTACTAAATTATACAATTTATTTCACAGTTTTTTTTATCGGTTTGGAAAAATAACGTTACGGAGCTATGGGGGGATATATACGTTATGCTTTTTTATTTGCTTTCAATTTGTATACCGTATTCTATAATCAGTCTTGAGAAAAGCTGTCAAAACGATTATAACTAAGATAAAGCTTGTAATAAAGGCGATTAATATGCACAGATCCCAAGTTATCTTGATCTGTTTTGTAAATACGTACGGAGACGAGAATATCCGTTGCATCATAACGAATAATCATATTTGAATAAAATCGCACTTGACTTTCGCCTTTGAGACACTCACCTAAACATCGAAGCACAAAAATAACCCCTTCTAGTAGCCATAGATATATACGTCATTTATACATCAAATTAAAGCATTAATTAGAATGCATAGTTTTTCTTCAATCCCTTTTTTGGAAATGTCAAGAAAACCTTGTGTTTCTTTAGGGAGTATTGGGAAAATTGTCAAAATTGTGCTCTAATTATAAAAATATTTGAATTTGTATTTAACGTTAGAAAGCGTTAATTTTGTTAACGGACATAAATCATTTTAAAAATTTTGAAATTAGAGAGAATTTTAACCATCTCATAACTCACGGTTCTTAAGGAAGAAACTTTTTAATTATTTTGAAGACCTCTTGTTCCTTGACTTGCAGGCATACCGCGTGTCTCAATGAGGACAAGATATTATCACGAAAATGGCTGCTCCTAGAAAATTGTAAAGAAAAAATGGTGGAAATTATTTTTGAATTTCTGGAACGGCCACCAGTGCAGTTTCCATATTTGATCATTTCAAATTCAAATCTGTCTGGTTCGATGCATTTTCTGACATAATCTCAAAGAAAAAAAGGTTTTCTAAAATAAATAAATAGGTGGCATTAGATAATTAAACAAGAGAACATCAATCGACTAAAAACCGTATATTAATATCTTTATCATAACCTAAAAATATGAATAAATTAACTCAAAAAGAAGTTGTTTATTATATGGGATACCCAATGATATTTAAAAATGCAATAAAATACCATTCTTTATTATTTTTACTTTTTCAAAAATTAATCACATCAATTAAATTATCTCAGAGCTGCATTTTGACATTCTCTGGCGTTTTCAAACATTTAGCATTTTCACATATTTGTCCATTCACAATGATCATTAAAACATTACTCACCGCAACTATCGTTAATATAAGAAAATTTTCAAGAAAACGGATTTTAAAATCAAGATTGTAATTATGGTTTCCGGTCGCCATCTTAGAAATTAGAAAATAATTTCCACCTTTTTTGTTCGATTTTTTATGACCTTCCGTTTTATAGGAAAAATGATTGTGTTTTTTTTACTGTGCGCAATACTGTGTTTTTTTTTTACAGCTGGTCCAAGAATCCTCGTACTAATCATTTTGTTTTCCGCCACAAAATGTTCAAATCTCTATGGTCCCTATTTTCTGCTCTATTATCGACATTTTCAAATGAACTTTTGCAGTTATTTATTACTGTGCATTTGGACTCGAATTGGGTAATAATTAATTATGGTTGCTTTCTCTTCAATCGTATAACGTATATTAAGCTTTAATTCGCGTTTAATAAGGTATAACAATCACAAATAAAAATATTGTTACTGTCCTGAATTTTCGTGTCGTCATTGTCAAAATGTATTTTACTGGTGTTTTATTATTAAAATTTATTCAAACGCTGTACATTAGTTAATCATACCGGCCCCTTCAAAAACTTATAATACAACTTTGCTATAAAATGTTCAGGGGAACCATATTTGGGCATCTAACTAACGGTATAACTCTCTATAATTGATATTTGTTGTTTTGCCATTATGGATGTTTATTGGAAACGACCCACAGTCAAGGAACAGGTCGTATTTATGGCCTCCCGTTAGAATTATAAGTAATTGTCCACAAGATATAGTTCATTATGGAGTCAGTTCGCAAGCTAAATATTATCAGTCGGAATTGATGTTTTGATGCCGAGATACATCACACGAACTTTCCTAAGCTACCGCAGGCGGCGCGGTCAAAAATTTGGCGACAAAATCGAATACATTTATATCCACACGCCCCTACCGACCGCGGTGGTGGTTCGTACCACCGACGCCATGCTTCCTCATCATAATTCGTAAACTTCCCGTCCGTTTGCCCTAGCCGACGCGCTCCTCTTACTCCTGCCGCCTTCTTGAGCCCTCTGGGGGCTGCAGTACATGTTGTAGCCGGGTATTATGTGCACCCTCACGTCTCCCGATGGCCGAAAACATTCCGGACGTTGTCTCCTCGAAAACGACACTGTCGTCTTACAACAACAATACTGGAATCAAAACATACTACAAGAAACCTTTATACTGACAACGCTAATTTTCGAAATTCGTTTATGGTGGCTAGTTTTCCATATTAGTAATGCAGGCCAACAATAATACCATAAGATAGATAAAAACAAATTCAAGGGGTAGTGATGGGATTGATACAAAAATGATTAATTATATAACTCCCCATTTGCTAGGGCACATAACTTTATTGGTCAATAACTACATAACTTCTAAGTTTCCCTACCTACCTTTCACTGTCCGCATTTCGTGCAATGCTTGTTAAAGGTAAGCGATGATATTTTTAAGAGTAGCGATGAAGGAAAGGAAACCTGCCTTATACTTCTAGACTACAGCGAGGCCTTTGACACCTCGAATCACGAGGTTCTTTGCGGTAAACTCCATTACTTCGGTCTTAGCAAGTTGGCCATTTGTCTCATTCAAAGCTATTTAAGTGAAGGAAATAAGAGAGTATCTAACCGGAACTATTTTATTTTCAGAGTTTCAGGACCATTTACATTTCAAAGTCAGTGTTACATTTCAAATTAACTTTATATTTGATAACTTGTCGAACAGTATATCTAATTTTTATAAAATGTTTTGGCTTACTATGTCTTGTTATGATGTCGACTCTTCCAAAATTTAAAACTGTATAATGGGCATTTTCAATAATTTAGTTTCACCAAAAATTGATACGGCTTGAAAATTCCACTTTATATTTTGAACAGGCTGTCAGGCTCTCATATTACAATTTGACAAAACAAAGTTTGTTTTGACGTCCAATATGGGATCTAACGGCGGGTTTATGCGAACATTTTAAGAAATAAAAATTTATACGCATATCTAGAATTTAGTGTTTTTCCTTGTGGACATCGAATAACTGTTTTGTTAACTGTTTTAGCCAAAGGCGTAAGAGCGCTTATTTCTATTGCATTGTCAATGCGTTAGCCACTGCATATCTACAAAAAAATGTACCATCTCTTACAATAAAATATATTATTAAATTTATTTTTATTAATAATAACTCTTGCTTTCAGCATTTACTGTTTGAAAACAAAATTATTATAAGCAATAAGAGACATCCTCTTTGATAAATTTGTGAACATATCTTGCGAAAATGTATATTCTAATTATATTATACAGCTGTAGTCTTCAATATTTTGTTCAATTTTATTATTTATTGTTGGTTGAGTTCCTAAATGTTATTTTCAAAAAACGTTTAAACTAAACAGACTAAATGTTTAGTCATTTTTAAAATTAAAAGACATTTTTTTACTTTTTAGAAGATGGTTGATTATTAACAGCAGGGGCAAAACATTTTAACATAAACAGGACAAGAAGTCAAGTCATAAAAGGAAGATTTTTTTAAGCGACAATTTTTCCCATTCTTACTGAATACCTCGGCCCAGAAATTCCGACAGAATTCTTGCGTTCTTTGCGCTTTGAGTATGGTCATCCTCTACTATCCAAAGAAGCGCCTGATCTTAAACTGAACCAGCTATAGGTCTGCCAGATCCTCTTTTTTTCGCAAACGTTTCTTCTTTTCCCTACCTTTTATCATGTAATGGAAAAAATGGTTGTTCTGCTTATATTAAAATGTTCAGCTACGGATAATAAGGACTTCTAACTTGGTCACAATTCTTGCTTATATCTCTCTGCTCGTATATTTGTGACAATTTCTAATTTGACACTGACAGTATTAGAAATAAGAAAAAATGAAGTTTGCATGACGACATCTAATACTAATACTCTGATCAAAACTTAAAAAAAAAAATGCTTTAAGAGTCGTATCAGTTTTTATAAAAGCAGCCGTCCATATCAAAAGAAAACAAATTTTAATTTTTTGTGCTCATCTTATATCTCATCAACCAATATTTTTTTTTACATATATGTACTGTACATGAGATCTAAATAGGCGCTTTATTGACCTTTTTCAAAACTACATCAAATTAAAAAAATACATTATATATATATATATATATATATATATATATATATATATATATATATATATATATATATATATATATATATATATATATATATATATATATATATATATATATATATATATATATATATATATATATATATATATATATATATATATATATATATATATATATATATATATATATATATATATATATATATATATATATATATATATATATATATATATATATATATATATATATATATATATATATATATATATATATATATATATATAGTAGTTTTAAATATGGGTGCAGCTTTAATTGTTGGGGAGAGTGGTGCGTTCAACTAAAATTCGTGAGGAGTATTACGCGTCTCTTTGGGATATCATCCGTCCGCTCTTTGAACTCCGACTGGAATCCTGCAAATCCTGCATCCGACTGGAATCCTGCACCAAAATCTCACTTGGCATCTTCAATGCTCGTGCTCCGAAAACACTTCGAACACTCGTGTTTTCGTTTCGGATGCAGGATTCCAGTCGGAGTTCAACGAGCGAACGGATGATATCCTGGAATATAGTGTCATCACATTTTTCCATCCGTGAATCAATACGTGAGCATATATATATATATATATATATATATATATATATATATATATATATATATATATATATATATATATATATATATATATATGCTCACGTATTGATTCACGGATGGAAAAATGTGATGACACTATATTCCAGGATATCATCCGTTCGCTCGTTGAACTCCGACTGGAATCCTGCATCCGAAACGAAAACACGAGTGTTCGAAGTGTTTTCGGAGCACGAGCATTGAAGATGCCAAGTGAGATTTTGGTGCAGGATTCCAGTCGGATGCAGGATTTGCAGGATTCCAGTCGGAGTTCAAAGAGCGGACGGATGATATCCCAAAGAGACGCGTAATACTCCTCACGAATTTTAGTTGAATGCACCACTCTCCCCAACAATTAAAGCTGCACCCATATTTAAAACTACTATAAAAATAAAGTTATATTTAGCGCAATTTCAATCATTAGAAGTAAATTAAATTTGTAATTACCGACAACGCATCACTATATATAACAGTATAAATAACAGTACCTGAAAAAGATTTACATAGGCTCCCCTAAAGTGCCTGTTTAGGATGCCGTAGAAAATGCTGTTGATGCAGGATTTGCTGATCGCCAACCAGGCGAGATTGTAAAACACGCTGTTTCTCACTTGCCGGACGTTCCCCACACCCAACACCACGCCGAAGGGTAACCAGAACACCAAAAATATGATTAAGCTGTACATGTTGGTCTGCATCAAGGCGTAGTCCCAGTTGAATGTAATTGGAGCTTTGAAACTCGATCGAGCTTTATACCTGCAATAAATGTCAATGCGTTATGTGCTCATTTAACTTTAAAAAGAACAACGAACAGTTCCATCGGTGTTACTGCGAAGCATCTCTGTAAAAAGGACACTCTCGGTATTAGCTAAGTCTAAGTCTAAAATGCTATCTAAATAAAAGTTTCAAGGATATTTTGTAGAGAGGATTGAAAATATAGATTTTTAGTTTATTTAATATATTTGAGACAGAACTTGATTGAATAACTATTTTTATTATACAGTGCCTTACAAATAGAACTTGTAACTAATTAACTGGAAGAACTAAATAAAATCAAACTATCCTATAATACTGACCGATATTCTAGTGGTAATACAAATAGAAGTTCTCAAAGAGTTATATAAAAAAATGTATAAATGCGATTTATGCAATAACTACTAAGATATATGTTACTACTAAAGTAGTAACAAGAGTATGTTTTTTAATAATAACAAAAAAAATGTTTTTCTTCATAACCTCGCATTTGAAAAGGTTTATAACTTTTAAAACATTTTCTACGTATTCACAATGTTTTTATAGATTAAAATATCCTAAATTTAGCTGCCAAAATATGCCAAGAGAATAAATATATATTTCTTTAGGAACCATGTCAATAGAAAAATCGCTCTTATTACCTGCTTGGTGCGAAGGCAATTCTTTGAAGGAAAAAATTCATCTGTTTTGCGATTAGTTCTGAATACGCTAAATTTAGAGCGGTGGTGACCGGAAATATTACTATGAATAAGTGAAAAATATAAATGTTATTTTTATTTATTATATATTTGGCAGCAGTATAAACGTAGCCGTTCAGTTTTTGAAAAAAGACATCAATTGAATATTCCTTGAAGCCTTTCAGCAATCGTTTTTAAATATTTGCCCGAAAGAGCAACCAAAATCAAAAAGAATACAAGGAAGAAGCTCTTGCTTTTTTCTCGATGTACGATAGACCAAAAACTCACATATTTTAATGCAACAACTACATTATTCTCCTTAAGGCTAAGGAGGAATGTTATCCATATGAAAATATATATAATAAAATACGTATCTGCTGAGGTAAATCTGCAGGCTTTTGTAAATCCCAAAGAATAGTGGCAACACGGAAGGGCGTTATATCAAAATTCAAAGTCAGCACTACGAAATGTACTGCAATATATAAATGGGATTGTGATGGTAGTGCAGGACACATTATTAGTAACAACAGATTGTTTTTGTTTTCTATTTGGATCGTTAAACTTCAAATGATGGCAGAAAATGGCAGCATTGTTTGGCCAAATCCCCGTACGTCTTCCCCAACATGTTGCAGGTCCATAAAATTGATTTCCGATAAAGAACCACCCGAATTATCACGAAGTGAAATTTGAAATATAGAAAAGCAGATAGAAAACACCGAATTAACGATTATCGAGAAACAGAATATTCGAATTGAACATACTTTTAAATTGATGATGATAGACGGTAAAATGTTTAGGGGATTAGTAATTCATCAACCCACACTTGTGGAATAAGCGGTGCAACCCCAAAAGTTATGAAAGACCTGCATAACGTCATGTTTTCCTGCTAATGAAAACCTATATGATTATGGAATATAAACATTACATGGGCGGATAACAAGTGTAAAACGGTGTTTACACATTTTTTATAGGATTGCACTGAAAAAATGGCAGATTCGGAGGCAAAAAAATTGCGAAGGAATGAAAAGAAAATATAATTAAGGAACTAATACAAAACCAGGATTATGGCACCACCAATGATGGAAATACTGGCTTTAGGTTTTTTAGAAATTATTATACCTATATCCTTTACCTAAAATAATCTATTTATCATTGTCAGCTAGTTGGACAAATAAACAGGATGTTCTGGTATATTTTGCCCAATAAACGAATCATCCATAAAAAGCTTTTAAAATTTTTGAATAGGACATCAATAACCAGATCACGCTACACATTCGTCTATTATTATTTGTTTTGTTTGTTTTTCTATTTACTTAAAAAAAATATTTTAATATTTTCTCAAACGCCTCTATGTTGTTTTAACGAACATGTGCTCGGGTTATGAAATTGAAGTGGAGATATTTGATATGTCTTGTAAAATACCGGTGGCGCATTTTCTTGTTCTTTATACATAGCATTATGTGCTAGCAAGCCCCCATAAATTATTTTTACATGATCTTCAACTACTAAAAGCAGCATCTTTACCTATTGGAATGTTGTCGGAGAAAGCGCTGGAGTCCCGCAATAAGAAGGTTTTCGCCGGAAGAATCAAGATTATTAATATCGTCTGATTCTTATATTTTGTCTGCGTGTAAATGTTTGGGGGTCAAATAAGGAATAACTTATCAAAAAGGTTCTTAATTTACTTCGAGAGCCTACTTTACAAGCATCAGAACAAGGACAAAATTATTAAAATATTATTCAGAGTGATGATGATCATCAATAAATGTCTCTTAGTAGTGACGAAGATGTTGATAGTGATTAAATATCTCTAATAAAATAGTTTTATTATTACTTTATATATATTCGTTAAATGTTTTGTTTTTTTTTCATTGTTCAAGCTAATTTTTACTTTTAGTTCATCTTCTGTAATCACCTTCTAGATATCAATAAATGCACTTCCGAAAATTAACGAACTCTACAGTCTAAGATCCCACTATATACCAGTTGAAACATATTTTTTGTTAATAAAATTTATTCACAAATAAGTGCCCGACTGATTGCGAGTCCATGTCCTGTCAAGGCTATTTTTAATAAAAAAAGTATTTAATTATTTTTTTTATTTCTCACCTGTTATTTTTATACCAAACAAATTTAGTAAAAATCTTTAGTATAATATTTCAGTTTTTTAATTTTTTCCCAAGTCTTCATTAAAATTGCAATTTCTTTTCTTTGTCTTATAATAAGATTTAAATAATATAATTATATAATAATAAATATAATATAATAATTTAAATATACAATTAGATTGGCGTAATGAATAATTAAAGGAAATATAAAATTTTATTAAAATCAAACATAGCATTATATATGAAACTATAAAAAATATTCATCGTCATTAAACACAGTATCGTAATTTACTATTGTACTGTTATCATAATTTTTCCTCTTCCGTAACCTGCAAAATGGCGTCAACTTGCAAGAGTGTTGATCTCCGTGAAACTTTGTTGGCTTGTAGAAGCCATCATCATTATACCATCTGCATGTTGCAAGATCTAGCTTAGTACAACAAGAATCGGTAGCGTTAAGCCACATAGAATTTACATATATTGCTTTAATGATTTCCAACAGGGCGGCATCGTATTCGAGTCAAACCTTTGTACTTTATTTAAAAATTGTTCATCTCTTTTGTTCGTTGAACATTTTCTCTGAAAATGCGGTATCTCTCTTGTACAATTTTTTATGCCATAGGTACATCACAAAAAATATCGGCACTACCTATTGATGATGCAAAATATTCTTGATAATGTTGACATTTGGAAAAAAAATTGTATGGTCTGATTTGGCCTTCATTGTAGAAGGCTGCAGTGTAGTCGCAGCCAGTGAACGGATGGAACGCCGGCAAACTTTTACATAAAGAAGGTCCAAACAGCCGAGTTTGCTAACCAAATTTCCGATTCGGGTACTTTATGAATATTGCAACTTCTGATGAATCAGATATATAACTCTGTGTTGAATAATGATTAATTCATAAAAAAAAATATTTTTATACTATTTAATCGATTTCTCGTTTATACTATTTTTTATCGTTTATTATACAATGTTATGTTTGATTTTAATAAAATTTTATATTTTCTTCAATTATTCATTATGCCAATCCAATTTATGCCATATGTAAGCCATAATAAAAAAAGTAAGTTGATGTTATTTAAATCTTATTATAAGACAAAGAAAAGAAATTGCAATTTTAATGGAAACTTTGAAATAAACAACAAAAAAACAATAACTTTAGAAATTTTTTATTACTTTACAAATAATGCTGCCAAACTTACGGTGAATAAAATTAAAAACAGCACAAAAAATACTGGCTACAGTATTTACTAAATATATTTATTAATTATCATTGATGTGAATATTATTATTGCTTTATGTTATTTATGATTAAGATAACCTTCCGCATGTATGTACTTTTTTTATCATTTAAAAAACTTTGCTATTTTATGGAGTAAACATTACGATTATTTACAACAAAATAAACTTTATAAACTAAACACTCACCTTTCTCTTGTTTGACAGAGGTTACTGAGCAGCTGCTATAATGCATTCTTCTCCGCCTTACATTATAAAAAATAGAGCTGTTGCTCCCTATTTTCAACTAAAATTATCGGAACTTTGATTGGGTATACGAATGAGGGTAATATGGTTGCCACGTATTATTCACAGGAAAAATGTTGGCAATCAGGGGGGGGGTTATTCTACATGTTACTTACAATAGATTTTTACTAAATTTATTCGGTACTAGAATAACACGTGAGAAATAAAAACATTAATTTAATCTTTGTTTACTAAAAATAGCCTTGACAGGATATGGACTGGCAATCAGTCGTGGACTTATTTGTTAATAAATTTTATTATTATAAAAATATGTTTCATGTGGTATAGCAATGAGGACATATTTTTTCCAGTGGGGTCCTCTACTACTAGTTTCTCTTTGAGCTCCATAAAATAAAATGAAAGCAAAACATTAATAACATATTTCGTAAATCACCCTGTATAACCATGTAATTAAACAAAATATCATTATTCTAAGCATTTATTTGGAAAAAATACTTGAATAAATATATCTGTCGTAGCAGAGTTACTGAGGAATCAATATAGCATCAAAATCAAACAAGCGGTTCATGAAGAAACCATATTCGAAATTGCGCAAAGTTTTTAGTGACCCTTATTTGCAGTGAGCAACGAGTAATAATTTGCCTCACTTTATTATTAAATTATTTTTTCATTATTAAATCCAAGAATTGAAATTTCTGGACGGTTTAATTAACAAACAATTCCGTTCGACAAATGCAAAAATTTGGTTATTCGCGGCATTCAGACGCCCGTCAACTGTATGCAGTTTCGAATTTAATTCAAAACAAGCGAAATTTCCGCGAAACTGCTGCGGACATCCAGTTTGCGGTAAACAATTATTATTGGCGCGGGTAACGTTCCGACCAACTGCATTAAATCGCTGCTTGGATAATCCCAGTGTGCGTTGTTCTCGACAATATCGCATCGGGTAAATGACGAGCGCCATTTCTGGTGGTAAACGTTCAGTCGAGAGTTTTTAGGGTGAGTTTGTTGCGATGTTTATTGATTACCAAAACTATTGAAGATAAAGAGTTCGTTCTTCTTTTTCATGTGCCTCTTCTAATCGAAGATTGGCGATAACTAACGAAAATTATTTTCGTCTTTCTGCTGTTCTGACCAGTATTTGAGCGTTCATTCCTTATTGCTATAAGATAATATAATGGCCCTACCACGGTAAAAAGTGACGCGCCGCAGGTGGCTATGATATTTTCGTAGAGAAGGTTTTTTTTTCGCGAACGCACCACTCCCAACTAACTGAGTTGTCACATTGCCGAAGTTTTTCTGAAAAAATGGACTAATTTTCTTTAGGATGCAACATCGGTCTCTGAAATCCGAATATGATTGGCAACGCCGAGTTAGGAATTGCTTTTGCCAGAGAATACTAACAGTCTGCGGCATTATTGTTTTCGTGAAAAACTTGGGTTGTGGTCAAAACTTTAAGGGAAAGAATGGGTAAGTGTAAGTAAAGTGGTTTCTATAGAACTCCCACTCACAAACTTGTATAATGTGTGCTTTCGATACTTGCTCCTTAACAATCGTGGCAAAGATGAGCACCTAATAGGATCTTAGACAACTCCTAAACATTGTTATTTTTCCTGCATAATTTGTGACTGAAAATTTTCCATCTTGAACATAAGAGAAATTGTTGTTGATAGGGGGGGCGTTTTTGGGCTTTATTTCCATTTTTTTTATTGCTTTCATTTTTAAAGGTGGTGATCCTCTCAAATCAAGTAATATAAAAGTATAATAATATAATAGTAAAATATTTTTGTTTAATTTTTTATTGTGTTTATAAGCAACAATGTATTTTATTGTTTTGTTTTCAATTAAGGCCTTATTAAATAATTCGTGTATTTGTTTGTACTAACCAAAACGAGTTAATAAAACACTATATAAAATGCTATTATAATTAAATGTAAGTTGTAGTTGTGACATAAACCACAATCTTGTCTACAAAACCAGTCTGTAGTGTGCATCTGGAAAAAAATATTTCTTAATAGGACATCTTCCTTTTAGGATGTTTCATATCAGCTTACATTTTTTAAAAATACCGAGCATTTCTGGAAAACTAATTTTTGGTTATTAAAATTTGAAATATAGGTAAATTATTGTGTGAATTGATACTAGTATCCAAAGTCCGAGAGACACAATGCAATTTCTACATGTATTTTTAGCATTTAACAATTGCTGTTAAATATTTTTAACGGGGAATTTTTTGCGATAGACCGCATGCAATTTTTGCTAGCAAAATGTTTTTTAAATTTTGGGACAATAAACGACACATTTTAGGGTTTGGCAATGTTAATTCTTTTACATTTAGGGCTAATTGTTTATTGAATTGTTTTATGCTAGTTTTTAATTTTCCTGGTTACATTTTCCAATACCTACAGTTTTTTAACGAAATTGTCCATTGATACTTTCAATAATTATATATTTGGGAGGCCAAACTTTCTTCAATCACTAGACTACGATGAAATAATGAGCGTTCTGTCTATACAAGGACCTTGTTGAACATTTTTTCTACTTAGATGTTTCCAGTGCAATATCTCAAAGTTATATTTACACTTTTAGAATCACATTTCATGGATTCGAATAAGTTTATAAAAGCAAACTGTTTGCGCCTATTTACGGGCACAAATTCGGGAAAAATTAACCGGTATGGGTGTCAATTGCGCTTAAAGAACCAAAGCGCTAAAATACTTACAGAATTATAATAAGGACGCCGATCCGTGTGCTGTAATTCGGTAATTTTTTTAACAACGCTTTCTACACCTTTATTGCTTTTTTGCCGGAAAAGTTAATGGGATTTCGACATATTTTGAGAAAATACTGGTGTAAAAATGCAGCATCCAAACATTGACGATCTACCAGCGGCCATGTTGGTTGTTAGAAGCCGAAAGGTCTTATGGGTCGAACGTCAGAATTTGCAATTAGAGCTGCCATTGGTTAAAAACGAAATTTCAAATCTCGCGCATGCGCACATTGAACAGACCTTCTCAAAAATTTTGATACATAATTGCTTCACGAGTTTTTTTTCTTAATTAGCTTGGTAGCTTTCTTTCTTGGTTCATGCGGATTCATTCGATTCGGCGCATATGCGCTGCAGTGCTGCAGAGCTCCCAAAAACTTAAGAAGTTACAAAAAAAAATTGTAATTAAATAGTCTATATTACAGAAAGAAATCAGTTTGTTGTTGTCAATGTTACCTCGAGTGTCCCCCGGGGATCTCATCTGGGTTCTTTAGTCTTTAATATTTTTGTCTTCTGGTTTCAATTTATGCTTCTTTTGTCGACGATTTAAGAACAAAAAAAGTTTCTCCCACCTTTAAATGTATTAAGCTTCAGAGCGATCTTGACAGATTTACTGATTATTGCATAAACCACAAATATTGATAAATGTCGTTATATTTTATAACCAAGGAAAAATAGTTTTATAGATATCAACTTAATGCTTGATAAATAAACAGCTGAAAAGAGTTAAGCAAGTAAAAGACTTGGGAATTGTTTTGTTCTCACAGTTGAAGTTTGAGGCTCAAATCAAAACTATTGTCAAAAAATGTTTGAGAAATCTGGGTTTCATTTTGAGAACTACCAAAGGGTTCAACAAGCATCTGTCAGTAATAATCGTCTATAACAGCATGATAAGGTCTGTACTAGAGTACTCATCCACAGTTTGGAATCCCATTTATAGTAAACATATCATCAGAATTGAAGCTATACAAAAAAAAATTAACAACTTAAACTTTAAATACAACATAAATCGACACTTTTGCTCGTAGAAAGAAAACTTAAAATTTTACAACTTGAAGTCTTTTGAAACTCGAAGAAACTGTTTTGATGTTGTTTGCAAAGTTGTAAATAACCTTGTCTATTCTTCTTTTTGTATAAATTACGTGAGCTTTAGCGTTAATATGAGTATTGTGTGTTTGTTATTGTGATCAATCGCAATTTCATATTAGTAGTATGATTTGGCATACATATATTATTTAAAAGTTAATGTTACGCACTGGTTCGGAGCAAGAGCATAAAATGTCATTATTTTTGCAATTAATGCGGATCTAGTACAGAATACCTACATGTCTCCATTTTTATTTGTCATTTTCTACTTTGATTAATTAATAATAAATAAAACTACAAAATATATTTGGGGGTAAGTCGAAAGATATAAATAAATAATAAATATATAATATATATAAAATATAAAATATTTTTACTAGAAAAATAATTATTTAAAAGTTAACATAAAGCCAAAACTAACCAAAAGTAAAATAAAAAACATTAATCAAATATTAATCGAAATAAAGAATAATTATTTAAAATTTTTTTTGTGCTTTAAACACTTTAGGAGCTTTCTCGAAAATATTTTTTTCGTGATCAGCCGTTTTTGATATTTTTTGATAGGCGGTTTTTTCTCTATGTTCGACAGCAGTACGGTGCAGACAAATAAAATGGCACTTATCTGTGAGCCTTTTTAATCTTATTATACCTCCTTCATCATCATTAAGAAGTTGTTTTACCAAACAAGCATATTTGTATTACTATGTTTTTTTCCAGGAAAGTTAACCAACCCAAAATCGGCAATTTGTATTTTGGTAGACGTAGGTTCGTGTTCATCCAACTCGTCCAAATCACGTGTACTTAGATCGTCAAATTCAACAATTGTTTCTTCACTTCACACAAGAATTACTATCATTTACCATCATATTAATCATTTGTAGAACTGCTTTCGGATATCTTTAGCTTACAAACCTTTTTAATTTTTTTTGTTTTATTTTTTGGTTTTTTGTCGTGTCCTTACTTAAAATTGTGTCAATGTCGGCTTTGCTGCTAAGCACAAGCGTTTTCTTTTCACGTTTGGTTGACTTCAACAACTCATGAAATGACACAATGGGAATCGTCTCCTGTTCTTGGGATCTTATGGAAATTATTTCTTCTGAGCATGAACTTGACCCTGCAACATTATGTTTTTTTTTTGCCAATGTTGAAAAACTTCTGGACCATATGAACGGAACTATCCCCGCTTCAGTAAAACAATTTAATAATATTTCGGGGTTGGTTTCTGTCCATATCTCCGCTATCATCTTGAAAAACGAACTCTTTGTTACAGCAACCCCTACATTTTTTTTGCCATTCAACAAGTTTGGCACCACAACCACCTACCACAAGATGACGAACGTGTCCATCAAAAATGACTAAGACAGGTTGTTCTGGGCGTATACATTTTAGAAAATTGTTTTGGTGGAGCAGTCGACTGTTCCCAAACCTTTAAAGATAATGCGCGGTGGAGCTTTTTCACCACTTGCGCTGCAGCTCATTAGAACAGTTGCTTGCCAGGTCCAACAATAGTTCTTGTTTTACCGGGGCTCCCCGTTGCCCCACAATCTTTGTTTTTAATAGACCAAAAGCTGCTTTCACACAGGTTCCAAATTTGTGATGGACGTTTTTGCAATCCAAATTCAATTTCATTTTTTTAAGGAAATCAAAATGGTCGTAGATTAAGAATGGGTCTAAAATTATTCGTAGCAGTATTCTTCTGGCTTACCGTCTTTAATCTGCACATTTATGTAGTTTTTGTGGTTTTATTTGACATAGTCAGTAACAATTTGAATTGCTTCTTTCCGGGACAAGCCAAATCGCCATTATTCATGCTACGGTGACCATTTGTTACTTCTTTTTGAAGACTCTCTGAGGTATATCCTTTGCCTCTATTACTTTTGCGAATATCACTGAAAATGTATAAAATATGTGTAGGAGTAAAAACATACCAAAAAGGTAAATATTTTGTTGAACGTTAACTACTGTACCTACTATTGTATTCTATTCTAGTAAATCCAATAAAAATCTTTGTGGATTCAATAAATATAAATGGATTTATTCTTATTGATGACCTTGCTCTAATGGTCAATTATATTAACTTTGGATTATTTTAGGGACGGAAATGCACCTTACCTTATTTCTGACAATTTATATTCACCGTGAACTATGGAGGTAATATTTAATTTAATTATTCTGACGAGATTTTTTAAATATTCATACGAAGAAAAATTTGAATGAAAAGGAAATAGTAGGCCTTACCAGATATTAGCATTCACAAAGCTTATGTAAATAAAGAAAAAGTTATACACTGAAGTTTAGTAAAGAAATGAATGTATATGTATGTAAAAATTAGCCTATATTGTTTTCCCTGGTTATTTTTTGGTAGCAATAAAGCTTGGACGAAAATAAAATAAATAATAAATAAATAAAACCGTCTTTTTTTAAGCTCGGCGAAGCTCAGCTGCGCTGTAAACTTAACCGAGTACGTAACAAGACAATGCAAACTTAATTTAGTATACCAATGTTACATTACAAAGGTATGAATCAAGCATAAATGAAAAAAAGAAAAACGATAAAAAAATACAATATAGCGAAGATAGTTTTCCGTAAAAGATATTTTTTAAATGGAATTTAAAAG